CCAGGACACCAGGACACCGTGCCCCCAACCTCTCTGTCTCCAGGCTGTCCTAGATTCCGGGATTCCTGATTACCGTCCAGAGCTGTCTACACTCTTTCATTAAGACTGACTTTGCTCCGACACAGACCCCGCCAGGCCCCCACCAAGGGCACCTACGGCGCCTGCCCAGTGTCCCCTGCCTCTCCCCCACCCTTGCGGACCTTTCCGGAACTTGGCAGGATACCCCACAGCCTCCAGGCCTGGTCTACCCACTCACTCCACCTTCTGTGCTTCCCCTCTCTTCCCTCCCTCCTCCCGCTTCTTCTCTTTTTCCTTCTTTTAACCGAGTTTCTCCGTTCCGGGCAACCATCACCACTGGCCATCTCCGGATCTTTTCATCCTGAAACACCGAAGCTCTGTCCCCGTTAAATAATAAGCCCCCACCCCCACGCACACACACACGCACCCACATCTGTGTGTTAGAGCCCGCTTCTTTCCTTGTTCTTGTCTCTGCTCAGGGCACGCAGACCTCATGACAGACCCTGGATGTGGGAGAGGGGCTGTGGGAGTTTTTCTTCCCTTCCCTTGTTTCTGGAGATGCCGGAGGCAGGACTGGGTTCCGGGAAGAGGTTGGTTCTTTGGCCCCCGTTCCTTCCTTCCTTCCTTAGCCAACTTCCCTGTGAACACCGATGCTGCGATGAATAGCAATGCTCCCTCCATCACACCCCTCCTCATGCTGACCCTCACAGGGGAAGATGTGCACGGAACAGCAGGTTCCACAGCCTTCCCCTGAAACGTACGGACGCGTTCATTCTTTTCCGAGGGTGTACAGGACAGAACCGAGCTAGCAGTCTGGAGGGCATCCCCAGGCCAGCGTCTGCCAGGCTGTGTGTGTTGAGGGTAGGGTCTAGGCCTCATCTCTCCAGATCGGACCTAGCTCATTTTGATTCTCCTTGTCTCATGGAGGAAAGGGCAAGTTGCTTCCGCGCAGTTTCTAGCAGAAGGAGGCATTCTATGTCCAAGTCCAATTCGGCAACCGGACGCTGTTTTCCATAGCTCTGTGGAGTGCTCAGGTATAAAGGGTATATACGACAGGGTATATAAGACAGAGGCCTGTTCTCGAAATGCTTGCAACCTGGTTGAAAGATAAAATACCATAAGAGTCAGGGCGCCCGGGGGGCTCAGTGGGTTAAGCATCCAACTCTTGATTTCGGCTCAGATTATGATCTCACGGTTCGTGGGTTCCGGCCCCGCGTCGGACTCTGTGCTGACAGCTCGGAGCCTGGAGCCTGACTCAGGTTCTGTATCTCCCTCTCTCTCTGCCCCTCCCCTGCTCGTGCTCTGTCTCTCTCTCTCCCTCTCAAACATAAATAAACGTTTAAAAAAAAATCCAAACTATGCCCTTTGGCCTACAAGGACCTGTATGATGTGCCTACCTCTCGGATCTCTTGCTGCGTTAATCTTGCTTTCCCTCAATTGAAGCCCAGCTTTTGCACTTAGACTTTCCTCCTCCTGGAAGATTCTTCTCCTACAGTTCCCCGTGGTTCCTTGGGTTCCTTGGGTCTCACACTGAACGTTAGCTCTCCAGTAAGGCCCTCCCTGCCCATGCAGGGGCTCTCTGGCACATCACCCTGTTTTATTTTTTCTGCGTAATATGATACTACATTGTTTTAGTTGTTTGCTTGTTTTTTTCATTTATTGGAATGAGAGTCCCAGGAGCACAGGGACCAGAACAGTGCCTGGCTCTAAGTAAAGGCTCATTAGATACGCGCTGAATGAATGAATGGGAGTTGTGGCTGGACTCTGAAGGGTGGGCAGCCTTCCAGGACAAGGGAATGAAATGGACAAAGGTGTGAAGTCAGGAGTGAGCACAGCCTGTCCTAGGAGTGGCCGGGTCAGGCTCAGCTCCAGCAGAGGATCAGTTGGGTCCTAGAGGGAAAGGGGGCTGGGGACACAGGCTGGGGCTAGGCACTGGAATGCCCGGAGGCTTAGACAAAAGAATCAGGACTCCGTCCTGCACAGGGTGACAGGAAGCCAGTGAAGATCTTCGAGCTGAGGAGTGGCCTAATTAAAACTGTATCTGGAGAAAATTAATCCGGAGGCTGTAGAAGGGGCTAAGCAGAGCCCGCTGTATAATTTGCAGGACCCGGTCCAAAACGAAGATGTGGGATCCCTTGTTCAGAAGGCAGGAAAAAAGTGCCGCTCACGGTACCGAAAGAGAACATGTTTTCATTTCTTCCGTGGTTCTTTTCTCAACTTCTCATGGTGGTTTTTTTTTTTGTTTTTTTTTTTTTTTTTTTTTTTTTTTTTTTTTTTTTTTTTTTTTTTTTTTTTGCTATTTAACGTTGTTTGAAATAAAGAAAAATTAACTTTTTCCTGCCCTCGGCTTACTAATGAGCACGGAAGGACTAGAAGCCAAAGGAATTATGGGCAGCTCAGCTTTTCCCTTTCCTTCCCTGTCATCGTCGTCAGCAGAAGTGGTTGGCTGAATCAGGAAACAGCGGGACCCAGAAAGGGGAGGAGAAGAAAAAGATGCCTCAGTCACCCGTGTCTTCTAGAAGGCCATCGCCTTCTAGGGTTCAAGGTCATTCAGCTGGACGCATAACACGCTTGCTGTGTCTTAACTCTGAGTCTTGCTGAGCTCGCACGCACGATGGGTCCACTGGAGTTCTACACCGGGCGGCCTCACGATGGCACGTTACCTATATCTCCTCGCTCACACGCGTCCTCCATTGTCCTGTTGGACTTCACGCACAAATTACAAGTTCAAAGATAAAATTATGAAGAGTTACGAGATGGTGAAAGCACCAAACCAGCCACATGGGCCATTCTGAGTGGGAGCTTTGGTTGAACAGACCCCCAAGTCCGTACAGCTGGGCTGGAGGGAGAGAATTTGAGGAGGAGGGCGAGAGTCAGAACCTGGCAGTGGTGAGGACTACAGCCAAGGAAATTGGGTGAGAGGCCGAAGGAGAAGAAACCCCTCTCCAAGGCAAAGCGACAAGATCCGAAGAGAGATGAAAAGAGAGAGATCATGATTCTTAACTCGAGGTCTTTAGAGGCTCTTGTACCCCCCCCCCCAACTAGACTGTGGGTCTCTGGAGCCCCGTGAGAACTGCGAGGTTGCCTCCCCAGGGCTAGAGTTGCACAAAGTCTCCAACAGGTGCTCAAATGGGCCATGTCTGTGGACCCCAATGGGCAAATGGGGAGGGGGAGTTCACACCTGGGGGTTGGGGGGAGACACAACACCTGAGGAGATCTGGATCCGGGCTGGGGTCTCCGGGCAAAGCTAGGGGCTAGGGATGTGGTGACGGGGAGAGTTGGGTGGGGACATGGGGAAGCCCCTAGGCTTGGAGAGAACCAGGGGCTGTGGGATTGGAGAAGGAGGTGTTGGGGGGAGCTGGTAGCGGCTCCCCCAAAGGGAATTTCCCTCCTGTGGTGGCCTCTCTCCATCCTGTGTGGCCTGTTCTAGCTTCCATCCCGGCGGGTCTAGCGCCCTGGCTGGTGCCTTCTGTTTTTCTTGGTCTCTGGCTCTTTCTCTATCCCTCTCACATTTGGCCCTGTCTGTCTCCGGATCTTAGTCTCCAACGGCCGGCCTGGGGCCCCTTCGCCGCAAAGATCGGCTTCCCTCTCCAGCTCTGTCTCTCTCCGGGGTTCCCTTTCCCTCCACTCCGCCCGGACACGCCCTCCATCCCCTTCTTCCACCTGATCCAGTGTGGTACCTGGGCTAGGGGGAGGGGAGAGACCTCCGGGTCTTAAAGAGGCGGCAGGGGGGCGGACCCAATCCCTCTCTCCATATTTGCATATGCATGAGGTCGCCCGGGCCAGCGGCGAGGAGGCGGGGCCTCTGGGGGTGGGAAGGGGGCGGGCCCCCCACCGCCGCCGAGTATAAAGACTGCGTGCCGAGCCCGCCGGCCCCGCACTGCTGAGGAGCGGAGCCTCCGCCTGGGGGACCCCCATCCCTGGCTGTCCCCC